TATATATTGCAAAAGTTGATTGGTCTAAATTTGTCAAAAATAGGCAAATAATGTTAAAAATGTATTTTTATGATTTTTTGCTCGGTTATACCCTTTGTTTACATTTTGGACATCTAATTATAGTTCATACTATATGTGTAATAGTTACCAGATGTCACGCCTTCTTCGTACATTACTACGGCACGCCATAGTGAAAACAAAGAAATGATAAAACAGTGTAATATGTAATGTACGTAACATAACATAACAGTGTAATATTTTTCTTAGTGTGTCGACTCTGACGTTTATATTTGTGAGGACCAATACTCAGCGACTGACACAGCATTATCAGTGGCGTTGTACAGGTCCTCGCGTGTGCAGGTGTAGAGGCACGCAGATCACCACAAATAAATGCGCTTTCAGAGCTATAACCCCACCTGTGCATGCTCTCCTTGCTTTGGCCGACTAGGGTCCGCAATCTACAATCATCTACAATCCACAATCTATAATCCACAATCTACAATTCACAATCTACAATCCACAATCAACAGCGTAATGTTGTTACATAAACCAATTAACGATTCAGTCATTTCCACCTTATACCACCATGATACACCGGTGAACCCGACTGTCTTTACCTGCGCTATGGACGACAAAAGTTCATGAGATTGATCAGGGCCGGTTTAAAATTTGCCATACCCATTGGGAATAAATAAAGAAGCAAGGCCCTACGTGCGAATGAGTGGTGTAAAGAAAGAAAAAGGTCATAACCAATTATAAGAAACTAGTGGAATAATTACACAGCATGCTTTCATAGGTTGCTCACAGATGAAAGCCAAAACAGAGATCTGTAACAAACACATGGGAAAATTCGTGAGGTCCGTTAGTTCCTTTCGTGGTTTAGTTGGCATCTGGCATAGCGTCTGACACGATTTGCTGGGAGAAGTTGGTTCGAATACAACCGGATCGAAATTATTTTTTTCTAAGTGTTCGATCTTTGTTTAATAATTATAACAAACTCGTAGAGTAATTTCACAAAAAAATAATTTTTATTTTGATAATATACAGGTAAAGTAAATAAGATAATAAAAGCTTAAATACTAGAAAGTAAAACTAGAATTTTTAAATTATATGAGTAAAATTGGGTCCCTGCGGCAAGATGCTGGCAGTGTTCTCCCCTTTGTATTGCTATGCTAATAATTGAATATCACATCATATTCAATATCACGTGGTGAAATATTTTGACGAGATGATTTGCTCCCTCATGAAACGCAACCTCTTTTCGCATTTATTGCATGATTATAAAGCTTATTCTGACCGGCTTTATGCAATTCCATATCGATGTGTGGTGGCTCCTTAAACCAAGAGCATAAGGATGGAGTGTACCGGACCGGACTTTCGTCGACCGAAGGAGGAACCAAATGAAAAATCACCTCAGTGAGAAGACTTGCTTGTTGCCCCCAGAGGACCTAGAATTTCCACTGCAAATGACACAAACATGTGGCACTGGCTGGAGTTTAAAATATTCTTTTTTTGAATAATTTTTTTTTAATAATAGAAAAAATTAAAAACTTATGACAAAAAACATTACAAATTTAATTCTTTTTAACAGCATAATAATACATTATTCACAACCGACTACAATTAAATTTAAAACTTTGTTCTAATACTCGTAATTAACTACGTATTAATATCATCTACAATGTCATTAAATTTTTAAATAGTAAATGCATATACAGGGTGCTAATGAATTAGGGGTGTATACTTTTAGAGCCAATTAAGATGATGCCCGAGTATCACAATGAAATGTCCACGTTTTATGATAAATTAATTGTTATAGGATAGTTACTAAACACAACCTTTTAGTAACAATATAACTTAGGACCAATTTATTAATCCCTACTTAACCAACCGGATAGGTCTTATTCGATGGATAGTAGGAACTTCATTTCTGAACAGATAGCAGACAACTATCAAATAAAATCTTTAACAGAAGTTATAGTCATGTGTCACTTCATAAGCCAGTTAGGACCTAACCTGCCGTTAATTTAGTGATTTTTAGGTTATATTTACGTAGCATTATTTGTGATTAAAATTCTTCAATGCCACCTTTTGGAACCTTTTTTATTCAATTTATTGAAAACACCTGAAAGCTTACATTATTTACAGTACCAAAGTGCTTACAAGTCAAACTGATCAAATTAAAAAATAAATAAAATTAAGAAAAAATAGATAAGAAAATAAAATTATATAGTGGAAATTGCACTGTATACGCGACGCCTCACGAACCAGGCCTAAGCGCGTCAGCGCCTCCGGGTTATAAACCTGGTTCGTTAGTAACCGGACATAATGTGACAGCTGTGTCTCCTTTCTTCTAGGTACATGTGTATCCTCTACAATACATGTAAGTAGTAAGTAACAAAGAGAAACGGACACAAGAACGGGTAATAACTATAGAGACGTTTATAATTGTAACGTGCAAATTTACGCTGGCTTCGTTCCAGAATAGTTACATATTTTACTTCAAAGTGATCCCAGACTATAACGTTGCGACTCCAGTCGACTGCGAACCACGTACTTATTATAACGTCACTGCAACTCCAGGATCCTTGCACTAAAAGCCAACTCTCATAATGAACCCTAGTGATTTTACTAATTACTGGCCACTTCACCATTAAAATGAAAAAGAATAAAATGCCATTGTCACGGTCAATATTTCTTTTTAACTGGTTGAATACGTTTCAATTGAATTACGAATTCGATAATTATACGGCATAAATAAATAAAAATGGCATAGAAAATTATTACATTCATATTTTAAATTCTGGTACAAAACAACGACTCAAAAATTATACGCACTTGAATTTGTTAACATCCCATATACTGATACGAATCATAACTTTATTACTGAATCGTGAATGAAACTGTATGAAATATATTGTATAAAAGTTTGTAAATACCTAAACAAATAGGAATGAAGTCCGGATTGAAACATGTATACACTGTGAAAATAAATTACTATTTTTGCAAAAAAAACACAAACAATATTTAAATCATTCTTCACTAATTTCTCCAGTTTCTTCATCGGAACATACCTTGGCTTTCTCTTCTCCTTCGCCACCAGCGTTCTCCTCCTGTAGAGAATAAACCATGCGTGTAACACAAGCTTCATAAAGCGTTATATTTGCGATCCATCCAAAGTTAAGGCTTTATATTAATTATAAATGAAAATAGGTAAAAGTATAATTTTTTTCATTAATGTGTATTTTGTCAATTTATTTAGTCTGTTTTAAAAGTATTAATATATCGAAGTAAGTTGAACTCGTATGTGATTTTTGTGAAAAGTTAAATTTTGATTCCATCTCGTTGAAAAAACCAGAAAATCTAAAATTAAATATCTAAAATTAACTATAAATAAACAATGCGTACGCAAAAGGAATCGAATCCACTATTTTCATATTTTTTCATATTCAAAGTTAAAAGGGGAATATGTATTTTTTTAAGACAAACACGTACCACAACGATGGCCTTATCGTCTCAACTATTTTACATTAAAAAACTTTCCAATTATATAGATTTTAAGACTTTCGGGGTTATTCACTAAATGATTATCACTTGCGGTTGCACGCTTCATGGTCAAGGGTTGACAGTCAACTCGTGACCATGGAGCGTGCAACCGTTCCTAAATATCGGGAAAATAAAAACAAGTCATACCGTGGTAAGAAACCTGATATTAGTGATAGTCATTTAACTTTCCAATTAACCATTAAAAATATCCTGTAATGCCGTTCGGTTTAAAGTTCAATTTACTTAAACAGGATGTCTATAACGTCAACGCCGATAGTCAAGAATGTTATCTATATTCAAAATGAGACAACTATATTGGTGTCGTAAAGTCGCGACTTTTCGAAAAATTTTCTCATCACTTAATTAATTTAATTGTTTTTGAAAGTTATAAAGTTCAAAAATTGTTACATCCGATATTAAAAATAAGCTCCTTTATATAATTGAAGAAAATTATTTTAATTCATCATCAATTAAATAACAGACACCGTGTATAAATTATCAAACATTTTTAAACATAATTGCGATACTGAGTTCAAATTACTTTGATGACAATATATTTGTTATTAAAATACTACAAATATCGTATAAATGAGTTAGTTTATTATGCAAATTTATTTCAAATATTCTACTCGATTGAAGTTAGTTTAGCAGGACAGGAAATAAAACAAGCTGTAAACAAAAATTATTTATTCACTAACAATATTTGGTAAAAATACATCTGGAAGATAGCTTACGTGGATCAAAATTATGGATACATCAGCAAATTTTATCTGCGACGTATCTTTTGTAGATATTGAAAAGTGCATCGACGCCGAAGATCCTGTATTAACTACTAAAACAAATGAAAACAAGCCCCACAACCTGGTTCCAAATTTTTTCAGGAGCGACTATATCTGGAGTGGCCCGTGTCGTCAGAAATGACTTCGCACTCACATAGCTGCGATGGCAAGATTTTATTTTTTTATAACATCAAGTGACGGGACAAACAAGTCGTGCGCCTGACAGTCAGCTACACTCCTGCCCGTAACAGGTACAGTGCCACTCAGAGCTTTAAATTGCAAAGATCTGAGGAGCACTACCACTGCGCCCGTGACCCTGAGACATAAGTTGACAAGTCACATGTGACTGTAATTTCACCACCACCCTTACCCTTCAAAACCGACAGAAATGGGTAAGGTCACTACTACCTTGGACAAATTCTTTCACAAGGAGCTCTACTGCTCCAAAAGATGATGATTTTCAGCAGCAGTTAGCTCACTGTGAAAGTTTTTTCAGAGAAGTACTGCCACCGTACCTACTTCTGCCACCAAGCAGTAATGTGAACATTACTGCGTACCTGTTTTGAAAGGTAGACTATAGACAGGTGTGTCGCTTAACACCAGGCGTACGGCTCGTTCGTCCCATCACTTGGTATCATAAAAAAAATGTATAAGTGAGGTAGGAACGCTGATCTGAGTGCATGTTTAAATATTATACGATGTGTAATGTAAGTGGTGCTCCAATATTGTCCATTCATCACTTTCTGGTGAACTCCTGGTGCCCAAAAACAACACTGCTAAAATACTGTCTATATGTTAAGGGAGTAAAGCTTCCAAGCCGCGCTAAGTATTGTGTAGTCTCATGTCCATTTGAATAAGTTGGTAAACTAATAGATTTCAGATATAAAAAACGCAATAAATCAATATCTAAAAGAAAATCAAAGTACTTTCGCATAAAGCGCGTTAACTAGTCAACACATTTCTAAAAATCACAGAAAAAAAGTACTAAAATCCGCAATATAATCTTCTTTAACACGTATAATCCGCAAGAGACGAGGTTAACGTCCATAATTAAAGAAAACGATAAAATTAATTACTGATTTCAAGATAACGTTTCATACGAGAAATCGACAGTTAAATGGACAAAATAATACATTTCATAAAAGTCTTTAAATTGACGCTAATTAAAAAAAAATAAAAATTGTACACAATAATAAAGCCTTCAGAAGATATCGAGGTAGAGATGGGAAGTTACGTAACAGGTATCGATAACATTTACAAAACAGTCACGTAACAGTGAACGCTCGTCGCTCTTCGGTACACGTTTATCATTCTTTCATACAAAAGACATCAACGATAAACGTAGAATCGTATTATTTTAACTTTAGCGCAGTAAATTTCAATAAATTAGTACGTTCATAATAAAATCATTTATTTCAGGCCATAGCCCATAAGAGAATGGTGTTAGTTACAAAAGAAAACCTAAAACTATGTTTTAATTTCGAAATATTGATAGATAATTAAAATATTAAACTACAAAAATTATAATACGAAATTTGAGAAAATGCACAAAACACTATTTGACCAGTAGTGATATTTACCGAAAACTATAACATTGTACAATCAAAATGGTGGGCAAACATCACACGCTGCTAACGCAACATTAACATTTGATAGCTTGAATACTCAAATAATCAAAAACATTAAATAACAGTGGTTGTTCGCATACGTGGTAACAGGTATTAGTTGAACAAAAACAAGTCACCGTTCCGCTCTACATTTAAAAGCAATACGATTATTTCCATGTAATACATCGATGATAACACAAATTAGTTACCAAATGGCTCGTACATCACTTCCGCTGTAATAAGACTGTTATTGCTGTAAGTCACGAGCGGACAAGTTATTGTATTGGGGTACCGCGGCTGAGCCAAAGAAATTCAATAAAAATCCTGTCAAACGATATTCATACGATAATGCAAAATAAATACCTGCTACAAGAGTTACTTGACCAACACTTAAGGCCGGCCCACTAACGGAATGGCTCGCCAGGAGATCTGATGGCAATTATGCAGCGGTATCCCTAGGTAAGACGCGGATGCTAAAGCATGCTTCGGCATTCCTTCGCAACATCATACTCGCGTCTAGTCTCTCTTCAGACCGTCGTGCGTGCCTCCCGACGTCCCGCATACGCATAGTCGCACTCGGCCTTACGAAGCATCCCGAAGGATGCCGAAGCATTCTCAACACTGCTGAGATATTCCGGAGACCGATAGTCGCTCGGCATCATTTTAATAGCAGTAGAGCTCATTGTGAAAGAGTTAATCCAGGGAAGTACTGCCACCTCACCTATTTCTGCTAACGCGAGCATTACAGCGTTCCGGTTTTGAAGGGTTAAGGGTGCTATTAGAATTACAAGCACATGGGACTTTTCAATTTATGTCTCAGGGTGACGGGCGCAATGGCAGTGCCTGTCACATTTTATAAGCAGCTTTATTTTGCAGCTAACGATCATTATCATAGAAATTGCAACTATAATAGCATAATCTTAAGGTATATTGCTATTCGTTACTTAAGAGGGAGCAGAGGAAAAATTCCTAATCTTCGATTTGATTTTAGAGGGGTATAACTTTAAAGTGAAAAATAAAATATTGTATGAGTAACTACACGATATATTCAAGCATAGACACTAATCAGAAACATAAAACAATAAAGTTTCCTCGATAGATAAAAATCACGAAATGACCTCTAATTTTCACATTTTTTCGATTCATCCTCGAAATGCTACAGGTTATTAGGACAAAAATTAGATAATTAATTATATTTATGCATGATCGAGAACTGTCACTACGGATTTTTTTTAATCCCTTTAGTTTTAGAGTTATTCCGCTAAAACGAATTTGGTACTTTTAATGCGCAAAATTCAACATCTCCTGTCGCATGTCACGCGAACTTCAGGCATATATTTGTTTCACAAATTTGGGCGGAGCCTACGTCAAAACTTTTTTGGCATGCTCCCTCTTAAAAATCCCTTGCCGTCCCGTCCCGTCTAAAATAATTATAAGAATAATAAGAAATAATTTTTTTGACATACGGTGACAGTTTTCTTTTAAGTAACTGATTTTGGTTAGCTATGAACGTTGTGGACAATTTGCTTGGATTTTTTAACCCCCGACGAAAAAGGGGGAGTTATGAATTTGAAGCCTAGGTCTGTGTATCCATGTATCTATCTATCGCATCCTAGCTCCCAAATGGTTGGATCTTAAGTGTCGATGCTGCCTCAGCACACAGCACAGCACAGGTTCATTTTGCTTGGGTCGAGAGGCAGGAACACTGGCTTTATTTCAGAATTATTTTTTTTTACAAACTAAACTAAAACCATTTGAAAAATGTATATCGTATACTATACGTGCTCTATTTAATCCAGTTGATATAAAAAAACCATTGGTATACGTAAAGTACATATTGAACACAGCGGTTTTTTGTAAAATTTCGAGGTAAGTTTGTGTTTTTCTATCGTGAAAATATACAAGGTGTGAATTATGGAATAAGTCACATATTCCTACAACACTTTCCCTTGTAATTATTATTATGCGGTGTGTAGCACAATTAAATCACACCTAGTATCTTAAGTGGTTAATAGCCCCATAAGTCTTGTAATTACTAGATACGTATGTGGGTCACGACACTTGCGTTGGTTTTTGTTTACCCTGTTTGCAATTTTTTTTCTATGAAAAGTGCATTTAACTTTGTTATTAATTAATTTAAAAAGACGTATATGAGGTCATGATGTCACGTGATAGTCATCA